ATGGGGTCGCAACTTCTTTGGTCAACTCAGCGAAACATACCTGGTGGCATTCGAACAACACGCTCAGCGCCATTACGCTGCCGTCCAGGAGCAACTCGAAGATGCTGCACCTCGTGAAGAGAGGATCGATCGCTCCGTCACTCCTCAGCCGTTGTACCACTCTGTCCTTCTCCAGAATGGAGCTCTCACCAAGGAAGTCGATGCTGCGCTCAAGGATATGTCGGCCAGCCAAGAAGAACGCACTGAACGCGCATTCGCCCTTTTCCACTCTACCCTCACCGAGAAGGGACACACTCCTCATCTTCCTTCGCTCGGCAGACTCATTCAAGCCTGTGGAAGGCTCGGCCAGTTGGATCGTGTACAAGAGGTGTATCACGTTTCGCAGAACCTGATTGCCAACCTTCGGTCGGAGATGGGCAGTTCGAAGAGGAGGGAGCTCTGGGTGATGGTCGAGGACTCGATGATCATTGCACTCGCTCACGCTGGCGACGTCCATGGTGCTCATGTCCACAGGCGACGAATCCTCGAGTACGGAGGGATCAACGAGATTGCTCCTGGCACTCAAGCTGCCAACAGCATGCTCGCCATTCCTAGCGCTGACGCCTATGGCGCCCTCGTCCTCAACGTCACGGATACCACCGACGATGCCTCAAACGCCCTTATGCTTTGGAACGAAGCCATGAGCGTTGGTGTCACCCCCAACCTCTACCTCTTCAACAACATCATCTCCAAGCTGTCGCGTGCTCGCAAAGCCGACTCTGCTCTCGAGTTGTTCCACATGATGAAGGACCACGGCGTCGTTCCCAGTTCCATCACCTACGGTGCGGTCATTGGCGCTTGTGCCCGAGTTGGCGACGTTGTTTCGGCGGAGACCCTGTTCAAGGAGATGACGCAGCAGAACAACTTCAAGCCCAGGGTTCCTCCGTACAACACCATGATGCAGGTCTACACTTCCACCAAGCCCAACAGGGAACGCGCTCTCCACTACTACAACGAGATGCTGTCCATGGGCGTTCAACCCACAGCCCACACGTACAAGGTATGTATCGCTACTCCTTTGACTTATCCCTTTCGCTGACACATCTCATCCAGCTTCTTCTCGACTTGTATGGCTCGGTTGAACCCTTGGACATTGCTGCGATGGAGAGCACCTGGACGCAGCTCAAGTCCAACCGACGTGTTCAAATTCAAGGCACTCACTTCGCTTCGGTTATCAACGCGTACGGCTGCGTGCTCAAGGACGTCGATCGTGCTATCGGCATCTTCCACTCCATCCCTTCGTATATCGTCAGCGGCAAGCCTCTTACACCTGACGCCGTCGCCTACGAGGCTTTGATGGACGCTCTTGTGGCCAACAAGCGAACCGACCTCATCCCCGACTTTATCGACCGAATGGCCAAAGACAAGGTTCACATGACTGCCTACGTCGCTAACTTCCTCATCAAGGGTTACGCCAACGTTGGTGACGTCGAGCGGGCAAGGGCGATCTTTGAGAGCATGATGGACCCCCCTACTGGTGTTGCCGCTCCCAACAACCACGCTCCTCACGATCCTTCCGGTATGCCTGAGGCCGTTGGCGTTTTGGATCCTGTCTACAGGGAACCTTCTACCTGGGAGGCAATGATTAGGGCCGAATTGGGTGCTGGAAACAGGGATCACGCCTACCAATTGTTGGAAAGGCTCAAAGTTCGGTAAGCCACTTTATGGTGTTATATCCTTGACGGAGACTAATCCATTGTTCGTAGTCAATACCCCGAAGCCGTGTTCAACAGGATTAGCGGTGTCATGGTCGACCATTCCGCGGTCGTCCTATGATTTCAAAAAAGATGAATCGTAACTTATTCGACGACACTCGACATCTCCGCAGCTATCCTATCCAGCTTTCTATAATCGACGACGACCTACTCTATTCCCAAGCCTCTCAAAAAGGTTACTCTAACCATACACCTGGCCAACTAGACTCCTGGCTGGTAATACTACGGTTCTCATATACATTCGCATTGATCACAACCCACCTCCGTCACTATACCTGCATATCTCTTTACGCTCTCACATTGACGTTGTAGCATTACAGTCCTATTTATGTCGCTTGTCGCTTTGCTATTTACCCTTTCCTCTTCGCCTGACCACTGTTACCTATTCGATCTTCGTATTACTGATGACGTTCATGTATCATATCACGCTTAACATTACACGATTTCTTTGAACTCGTCTTCGCATTGCCAACAGAGTGAGGGGTCCGCTGAGAAGCGCCAATTGCTGCATCATATTGGGCTTGATCAAGATTTGCTTCCGACCACGAACCCGTTTGACAATATGGATACGGGGGAGCTGCTCGCGATGGTACGTCCTTCAAGATACGTGTCAGAAAAACTGCACATCGGAATACCTGCCTATGATAGATAGGCGTGCCCGACGATATTGTCGAGATTGGAAGGACGGCCCGTGGTCGTTTGTCGCCTTTCCAGCGAAACCAAGTTTGCTTCGTCAAACAGGGATATGAAGACAGAGCCGTTCAAATCCAACAAGAACTCAAAGAGCCGTGTTACAATCGGGAGGCTGTCCGGGACGAACTTTACGCCGTCGAACTCATCGTTGCGGCCTGCAATGGCCTGCTCTCGCATCTGCGCTTATTCCCTCTGGAAGTCATGGACATCATCTTCCAATTCTGCCTCAAACCGCGCAACGAAATATTGGATGGTGTCACCGAAGTAAACTCGAATGAACGGCCTCCAACAAACCGCGCTGCGTTATCCCAAGTCTGCCGTTGGTGGCGGGATGCTATCCTGTCGTCGCCGTCATTATGGTCCCCAGTCAGTATCTCTGCCGGCCAGCACATACACTCCGAGACTTCTATGGTCGCGGGCCTCGCAGTTCCTCATCTTCTGCGAGAAATACAACTCGCCAAGCCGTATTCTTGGTCGCTGCAAATTGACGCCCGTGGATGCCCCATGACCGACCCCCTCGCCGATGACGACCTCGCATATCGACCATACAAGGAACCCCTGGTCAACCTTCTAAAAGAAGAGCCGCTATTCACCCTTCGAAAGCTGAGGGTGCGATGCGACGACGCGGACACAACGTTCCAGGGGATTACCCTGCCATCCCTCGATTCGCTCGTTTTGCGCTGGAGCGGATCCGATTGGCGAACAAGACAAGAGCGAGAAACCCCATCCCTTCCTGTCATGCCTTGTCTGACCAAGGCCGTCCTCTCGGGGATGCCCCACCAATTCTTCGAGCTGCCTTGCTCTCGGTTAACACATCTTTATATTGGAGGGTTCGGGTTGAGCCTTGTGACCTGGTTGCAGATCATGGTGTCCTGCACGTCGCTCTGCCGCGGGTGCTTCTCCATCGACAGCGATCTTAGACAAGAGGGAACGCAACCAGCCAATCACCCACATATCGTGACGCAACCCTACCTGCAGGAACTGGTTGTTCTCAGCCCAGACGGCTTTGAACCCAAGACAGTGTTCCACTGGCCATCCTTGAGAACGCTCAAATCCGATTTTGGATGGAATCCTTGGGAACATTGGGCACCCCACTTCAATCACACAAACCGTCTCCTGGACTGCTTTCCGTTCCTGACTTGCCTATGGTTCTCAGGAAAAGAGGACGTCGCTTTCATGGACGTCCTGGCTCCTATCCTGGATACCTGTCATTCATTGGAGGAGCTCTCCCTTCACATAACGGCCACTGAAAATGTCAGCACTGTGCAATACTTCAATCGCCAACAGAGAAGCATGACTCTACCACGTCTCCGCGCCTTGGGCCTACGTATCCCGCTATGGGAAGAATGGGGAAGGGTTGCCACTGAGCAAGACACTTCGGACGAGGTCGAGCATCTTTGTTCATTGGCCTGCGACGTGATTGTCTCGCGAGTGGCACTCCAGGGACTAGGATCCGATGCACCTCTCGAAGACTTTGTATTGCGGCTTGACCATGACGGAGAGAACCGAATAATTGCCAAACATGTCTGGAAAGCCATGGAGCGAGAAGTCAGACTGAGGGATTGCGCGGATAGGATTCGGGTTGCGATTGTCCCAGTCCAGGGTCACAACGAGGTCTGGCAGCGCGAAGACAACGATCACACCATATGGGGACACTGGGATGAAGACTTTGTTAATTGTATGGATACTCAATCCGCGTTCTCTCCTTATCCACAAGAGAGGGATAGGATTCTTTTCCAAGTTTAGTTTGCGCGCTTCTCTTCGCCACAAGCCCCTATTCGCTTGATGATGTCATGTATCTGGGTCCTAAATTAGCTGCGCATGACCCTGTCTATCGTCATCTTGCACAGCAGCTCGAAGGACTGTACATTCCTAATCTAATCTTTTGTTCCTCCCGAACAGGCTCCACTTCTCAACCGTATAAATACTAGTGCTGCTCTTGCTTAAACCGCCAATTCGACCTTCCATCGCACTACACAACAAACATGCCAGGCAACAAAGATAACAAGGAACAATCCTTCCACATCCTACCCCATCCTGCCGTACGTTTGTTCGAATACAAGCCAAGGGCATGTCGGTTGACTGACCCTACCACAGAAATCCAACAATCCCTCTGATTTGCAAGCCCCAATCTGGTCTGAGTGACGGTCCAGTCCAGGCATTCCACGCTCGAGATCCTCATGTTCCTAGTGAAGAGATCCGGAACAATATGCCCAAAGCCTCTGTGAGTGCTGAGACGCCGAGGGCTCTTTCTCTGACTGACGATCTGGTGGCAGAGCCGTGAAGAGCTACAGAAGCGACAGGCCCAGCTAAACGCAGACAAGTAGTGCTTTCAATACTATCGTCTTGTTGTACCATACTCGAATAACGAGAATAATTCATAATATTGTACCTGAACGTCGCGACCACTGGAAGCAGCTTTACCTGTCCTTGTACAGGCAGAACATGCCCGTGTTAATACACGGTGAATGGCACATTCCTTCGCTATTGATAACTTCATCACCCATGGAAGAAGCAGCCCGTTCTCTATGTCTAAGCCACCCCACTTCCAAAGGCCCAATGGTCTAGTAGCATGATTTTCCCTTCGGGCTTTTCCGCCAGTCACGTTACGTGATGTCACGTGGGAGAGGTCCCGGGTTCAATTCCCGGTTGGGCCCCTTTTATCCCTTTTTAATTCAGGATCATGGTCATGCCTATGTTAGAGGGGAAGCAGTGCAAGGCACTCCTGGGAGGAAGGAAGGACGAAGAGATTTATTACGGGCCGCAATGACATTTGGCTCAGTCAGATATTGTACAGCTTTGTCTAGTACCACGGCATCTCTTGACCTGTGGTCTCGCACCGCTCACGGAACGCATCGAGGACTAGTTTGCAATCTTCCATCACCCAACCACATTCCCATGGAAATGTGAGTGGTGGGGATGACCCGTCCGGTGAATGCCACGTTAACTCAGTCCAAGGGTCGCCTGCAGGGGTGGTCCACGAGGTGAGGATTTCTGAGCCATCGAGGGCAGATGAGATGACAAGTTGCTGCTGAAGAGCATCACCGGATGTCGGGGATATATGTCTGAGGCTCACTGTATACTGGGCAATGGGAGATAGTGCTTCGCTGTGGACCGTATCGCCTCTTTGTAGCCTGAGAATGAGGTCACCACAACTCAAGTGCAATAGATCACAGTCCGGCTGGGCGGCCATCTGTGCGGCGTTCAGGATGCTGGACAATACCAAGTGTTGCAAGGAATTGTTGCCGTTCTTGTCAACGACATTTGTACTCGTCCAGGGATAGTTAAGGAGGAGAAGCCGGATGACTTCCGTAGTTTGGACCTGCCGACGTTGTGCCTCCAACGCCAGCATCAGCGCAGTCTTCCCGCTGTTGTCAACCTCGTTAACTCGCGGTTCGGCCATATCCAAGAGTTGCTTGACATGGGTGGTATGGCCACGACAAGCCGCATGCATCAAAGGTGTTCGGCCCTGGTGGTCCCTTCTATGAACATCAATGTAATGTGTCCAAAGGTAATGCCTAAAGACTTCGAGCGGTCCGCCGTAGATAGCCCAATGGGCAATCCAGGTCCTACCGTCGTCATCCCTGGCATTGGGTTTGTCGAAGGCAGCCTCGGTCTCCCATGGGTTGAGGGCAAGAACCGTCGATGCGGTAACTCCCTCTACGTCGATGGTGGAGATGTTAACCTCAGAGCGCCGAAGTAAGTGCCGTGCTACCACTGCGTGTCCTAAAAGGCATGCGTGCACTAGTGCCGTCCTGCCCCAGGCGTCAGTTTCATTGACACTGAGTTCAGGATGGGTAGCAAGTACATTTGCTGCCTGTCGGCAGCCACTGAGCAACGCGAGCATCAAGGGAGTATACCCGCTGCTACGCTCTGCGGCATTGACATCTATTCTTGGGCGAGTGAGGAGACGAATCGCGGTTTGTTCGTTCGTTGGTGATACGAAGCATGCTAGTAGTGCCGTATGCCCATGATTGTCGTAGGCATTAACGTTCGTCTCTGGGAGATCGGCCAGTATCTCGGCCACGTTCATAGTTCCAGTCCGGTTGGGGATCCTGCATGCTGCCAGTAACGGTGTCGTTCCATGGCGATCAACAACGTTCACATCGATGTTGGCTAGGCGAAGCAATTTCTTCACAACGGGCGTTGGGTCCCCCCATGGCGTTCGTATGGCTATCAAGAGAGGAGCGGACCCATGTGTTGTTCGCTCGTCGAGATTTTTGCCTGAAACAGTTGTAGAGATCATATGATGCAGGCCATACCAAGCAATGAACTGCAAGGCGGTGGTGAGAAAGTCGATTGAGGAGGAACGGCCCAGGGTCCCGGTTTCTTCCGCATCTTCTTCTGCCTCTTCTCCTTGTTCACTGATTGGATAGAGAGGGAAATGTTCGAGAAAAACCTCAAGATGTGCATCGGCCTCCGTCTGTGTGTCGCAACGTTCCATATGCCACCACCAGTAGTGATATGCATACGATATAAAGAAATGACTATCCTCAAGCTCCTCAAGGAGTGTATAGAGGGAAGTCATGGACTGATACTTCTGCTCCTCCATGCCATGGAAGGCTTCCACCATGTATTTGAGACAGCCCGCCATTAGTGTTGAATGGGGGTGCGGATCATCTTTTGCCAGAATTCGGGGGAGATATTCTTGAGCAGTAAAGTCTATGTAAATTGAGTGAGGAAATTCTTCGGTTTGCAAGGGACGCGACTTACGGACAAGTCGAACTCCAATTCTTTCATGCGTAAGGAGACCACAGCACACCGCCATCAAGATTTTGCCATCAGGGGTTGGCTCGAGTGGAGAGTCAACACTCTTCCCAGTAAAACGAACTGCATGGCTCAGTTCGTTCAAGGACAATGTCCTCTTGGCAAAGAGTACCCACATCAACGCCCGCTTTGCCAGCGAGCTATATTCAGCTGGCTGCGCTTCTATTCGTTGAACTGTTTGTTCATACAATTGATCCATCGCCAGAGGGAGCTGTTCCAGTCTCGAAAATACGCCTTCAACACTTGTGCAGTGACGGATGCTTTCTGATTGCAGCGTTGCGTGAAGAAACCTAACTCACAGCTGTCAGATGTGTATGGACTGGCAAAATGATAGCTACGCACATCCCTCTCGAGTTCGCAATGATCCTCTGAACGACTTTCTCCCTTGCGCCATCTTGCTTCTGGAGCAAACCCCGGAGAGCGGGGCTTCGGTCAATCCTTTCGCCAATGTAAAGTGCAAGGTCATGTTCCTTGGCAACAACATTGAAAAAGGTGGCCTGTGGTAAGACGTCCTTTAGTAGCACCAGTGGCCTTGATGTGATCATGAAATTGGCTTTCAGAGTTGAGAACACGTCGAGGATATCGAATTGGGTATCAGGAACTGCTTCGTCGAGGCCGTCGATGAAGAAAAAGCACCGACAGAATGGTGATATGATCCATTTGAGCAAACTCTCGAGCTCCTTTTGCGTGGGTTGTGTCTTTTCAAGTTCATGTCGGGAGTAGAGTGGTGTGACCATGGGGAGCAGATAGTTGTAGCGCTCAACCAACTGCCTCACAACGGCCGCGAGGATATCTCGAACTGGGGTGGGTTCCGTGTAGCGGCAGAAGACAAACGCGATGCAGGTGTCATTGGATTCTGAAGCCCAATCGAGCACAAAATCAATGGTCACGGCCCTAAGTATGGTTTCGAGTTACTGTTGGCCGCCTTAGGAGAGAAGATGTAAACTCACGCTAACACGGTCTTTCCAGCGCCGGCTAAGGTCATATTAGCTGTATCTTTGGGACGATGAAGACAAGCCCACACGTACGCATTCCTGTCCCCCAGATGATCGCCCCAGGGCTCATGAGCCAAAAGTTGAAAATCTGTTCTCGTCTGAACCATTGTGCTGTGCCTCCGGTGTGCTTTTCGATGTTGGCCGCATGTATAGACCGATAGTTGAATGGCGAGAGAAAGTCCAGCACAGGTCTGAGTTCCGATTCTTCGCGACAGGTGAGTCTCGACTGGATCAACGTGCAGCAGGATCACAAACCGCGCGGAGGAGGAGCCGATTGCAAGGTACAGAGGGTAAACTGCCCTCCGTTGATTGTCAAGTTTTGGGCACCATGAATCAAGGAAGGTCCTGGTGCAGGGGGCAAGAAAGCTATAGTCTTGAGCTGGCCATTGGGTTTGAGGAGGAATTGTGGAGCTGACGGTGGCCTGGGATGACGGTTCAGGATTAGGCGCCGGAAGCGACGAGGCCGCTGGAGGGGTCTTGATCGCTGTATCCTCGACGGTGCTTGTCCATTGGACCTGTGTACATACCATGAGTACTCCTGCCATATTATTCTGCACCCTTTACCCACCCAAGAAGACAAGCGAGCACCCATTCTCAGGACGCGGTCGGGGTCACGATGTAGGCGGTCCTTCCCCTCCATTTCGACGCACATGTCGCTTACGTGATGACGGGGATCCCTGATCTGCAACGCTGTGCAAGCACTGGAAGAAACACGAACTTTGTCCTTGTCGTTGTTCTAACCAACATATACTTTGATACTTTAGTTGGAAATGCAGTCCCCTCGGTTGAGCACATTTGAATCTTGATGTTCCAAGTGCCAGCCTGCCTAGACTCAAGAGAATCAAGGCGCAATTCGGAGGGCAAGCATCTTCACAATCAGGGTGCTCAGTAAATCAGAACCCCATCTCTTCGTGCACGGCATTCCAACGACGAGAAAAAGGCGATTAGTCAGGAATGTATACGACAACTAGTAGAATGGCATCTCTTGCCCTCTCGCCTCACATCTCTCGCGAAACGCATCAAGGACTCGTCTGCAATCTTCCGTCACCCAGCCACACTCCCAGGGGAACACGAGTGGTCGATTCGATCCGTCTGTAAAATTCGGCCACTGTAACGCAGACCAAGGGTGGCCTGCAGGGGTGGTCCACGACGTCGGGATATCTGAGCTTGCATAACAAATTGTATTAGTGAATGAAACCTGCAGGTATTAGGGTGATCATAAATAGAGAAGTCCAGTCAGCAAAGCATGTGCATGTGTATGAAGTTGGCGTACAGTCCTGTAGTCCAAATAATAGTAAAAAATGTGCAATGAGAAAGGGCGAAAACCGAGCTTCCGAATCCCGAGTCGCGCAATTGCATACTTGATCGAAGGCGCCATCTGTGCTGTGGTCGAAGAAACCGGGTGCCATAACAGTCTCATCCTCCCGATCTCATCCCTCCCGAATCGACCTTACGCCCTCCTCCTCTTGCCCTTGACCCCGGAATTCTCTGTATCATCGTCTCGAAGGCGTTTAGAACCCCGTGTAGGAGATGCCAAGGGATCGCCACCAGGAAGGGTAGGCACGTTGCCTGCACCGCTCTGAGCAAGAGGGGTGTGAGCACTTGGCGTGCTTCTCGGGAAGCTAAAGTCTCCAACGCTGCCTCTCTTGCTGAGAGGTGCTGTACTTCTTCCTGAAGGGCTTTGTGGGACAAAGGTCGCGCCAACGCTGGTGAAAGGGTTCGGCGCGAACGATCCAGAGGTATGCCGACTGAAACTCCTCTTTCCGCCACTGGGAGCCGCATCATCAGTGCCGCCAGGAGCTGGACCAGGGGTCGCTGGAATCGCAGTCGGTGGGGTAGGTTCCGGGTCAAAGGCGTTACTGGCATCGATATCTGTCCCGCCCTCGCTCTTGCTG